GTCGATCCCGATGGTGTCGGAAACCGGTTTGAGGGAGTTGGAGAGAAACGTGGTGATGGCTATGGTGGCTCTTTGACCTTTGGAGACGAGACGCTTACAGAACTGAAGCATGGGATTGATGTGGCCTTGGCTTGGATATGGAACCGCAAGTATGTGAGCTCCATAGCTTCCTCTCTTTTCGTCACTCCCCATTCTCTACTTAGCCACCTGCTTACAGGTTTTTCTAACTCCGTTTTCCTCCTACGTTTTTGTGAATGAAGTTGATGGATCCGCATATGCTCTCTTATATATAGAAGATGATAGATCACTGGTCAATCGACCATATGGTGGATTCAGAATTTCGAGTTAAGGGGGCAAAAATTTTTGTTAGTGTAGGAGGTTAAAAAAAATCACTAGTATTCGGGATGAATTTTTTTGCTAGTGTAGCGGGGCAAATTTTTTTCATTAGGGTAAGCCTTTGCGTCTATATTTATTCAAAAGAATTCATTAATACATACATGATGATATTTAAATCTATATATTACATTCTAAGTTTAGACAATGGCAAAATAACTTTAATTTTATAATTGGAGTGCTCTAGAAAAAAGTATTGTTACATTAAAGCGTATGAAATGGCAAATCAAAGAAAAATAATTTGAAAATAAAAAAGGATATATAACATTTTATTTAAAGATAAAGAGTTTTTTTTAATAGTTTTTTTTACTCGAGGGGGCGTCTGAGGGAGGGGGTCTGGGGGTCTGGAGTAATCAGGGCTGAAACTCACTCCATTGAATTTCGAACCCGAGACCTCCCATCAGGGCTGGACCGCTTCCTCTTAAAGATAGAGTTTATAAGGTACACATTCACCAATACTTTGAAAATAACTTGAACATTGTTTAACTACATGAATCTTATAGAAATAAAGAATTGGTTTTTGAATTACAATTTTTTTCTACCAAGGAGGGTGTTCATGAGTCACAAGGAGTTTTCTTAATATTACAATAGTATATATGAGATTATTATTTTTAGAATAATATCATATTGCTAATTCATATATAATATATATAGTGCATATTATATTTGCTCAAATAACTAAAGTTTATTATCTATGCAATAAAGTCTTTTTAAAACGTAAGAAATAAATGAATTGTGTAATTTAATTCAATAAACATTTATAAGTTGGATTCGCTTCACATGCTTTAAAAACTGTGTAACTAGTTTGTCTGGTATTTAATATTGTTTGATATATATTTTACAACATTGTTTACGAGTTATCTAATAAAGATAATTAAACATTACAAAACTAAGAATTTTTATTTAGTAAGTATCTTAAATCTTTAACAATTAGTTGTTCTATTGTTTATTTATTTAAGTTATGTAAATTATTTTAGATGTTCCTTCTTTTAAATCTCTAATTAAGTGTTACATTATGTAAGACTATATATTAATTTTTAAAACTAAAAGTTAAGGGGGCGAATCTAATTAAAGTATGAAAATTTTACGAAAATATTACATATACAATAGAATGATAATTTTTGTACCGCTCATTCTTGTACCATTATTAATGGGACGAAGGAAGTAGTTGTTAATCATTAATCAATGAATGATAATTTTATACATAGTTCGTAATAGGGAGTATTACATTTTCATATTAAAGCCATGTAAATACATTTATGTATGAGAATGAAACATTTCACCAAAGCAAAACATGAAACGGTATAAAGTAGAAATACAATCATTATTTGACTCTTAAAAATAAATCTATGTTCGTCTTAACTCTTGACATCGGTTGTGCATTAACCGGGTCATATTTTAGACCTGAACTAGACCAGAATGAACTGGATCAGACCAGACCGGTATTAACCGGTCCGGGTTTCGGTTCTTAGCAGGGGCGGATGTATGCTAGGTCAGGGATGGGCTTCAGCCCAGCCCAATTTTTTTTAATAGTATTGGTACATTTTCAAATCTCAGCCCAGCCTAAATTATTTGTCAGCCCACCCCACAAATAATTTGTGAATCAGTGAAGTTATGAACTTCTGCCGTGAATTTGTAAACTGTGATTAACCGATTGTGTATTAAATTATTAATGTATTAATTATTACTACCTCCGTTTCAAATTGATTTGCAAATTTGACTTTTCTTGGTCAAACAGTTTCATTTTATTTGCTTAATTAGGATGTCAATTTTTAATTATATTATAATTTGGAGTTTACAACTTTGAAGATATTTTAATGTAGTTTCTGAATATATAAATTTTAATTATTAAAAATTGAATTAATTATCGATAGGGAGCATTGATTTTTTTTATTGGTTGACCAAAAAATGTTGACTTTGCAAAACAATTTGGGACGGAGGGAGTATTATTTTTAGCATTTTAGAGTTTTAGGGCTAGGGAATCATACAATCGTTTTGATTATTAATTGAATTTTTCAGTACATAATTAAATAGTTTTATTTTTTATATATAAGTATTTTAATATATACCAATATTGAAAATGTTTTTTAGAATGGATAATGAACATGTTGCCAAGAAGGGAAAGAAGTTGATTTCATCATTCTTTTTGAAAGTGAATCATCAAACTGGTGAAGGGAGTTCTGAACCTATACCTACAACAATGTAAGATCTAGTCAATGAGGATCCTCCACATGCTGTATTCCCTGAAATCCAAACTATCTCAAATTTGGATTTCAATGCTCAATAGACATGCTCGAATGTAGAAGTTTAGATTATTCTCGTTAATAGATTCATGTTCAAATTATTCAATAAGTATTCAAATTTTTATTAATCATTAATAAATTTATAAAAATTGCACTAAAACGTTTATATTTTATGATATGTACAATAGTATAATTTATATGTGAACGATAGGCTCGTGTTCGGATCGAAACATCACTATGTTCGATCTCGGCTTGAATAATTATTCAAACTCAAAACCTACTCCGTGTTCGAGTTCGAAACTTGTTAAACTCAATTCATTAAATTAGATTCGAAATTGATAGAGTATATCTAGAGAGAAGTGAGAGCTAGAGAGAGAAGTGCAATAATATGCTTCAATAGAATGATTTCGTAACCCCTATAACTACTCCCAAAGGGAGTATTTATAGAGAAAATTAGGGTTGGGCTCCCAAGCCTTGGGCTCGGGAGGCCCATTTACAACTGGACCGCTACTGGGCCGAATACAAAGCCACTAATGGGCTGTACAAATGAGTAAGTATAAAATTCGATTCTGTGAGGTCTTCGTGGCCGACGAGGGCGTGGCCGACGAGGGCACGGCCGACGAGGGCACGGCCGACAAGGGCACCCGGGTTCTTTGGACTCAGGACCATAATCCGAGTTGGCACCTTTTCGGCCGACGGGGGCGTCCTGGCCGACGAGGGCGCCACTCTGTGCCTTGTGCTTTCTGTTCTTCCGAGTATGTGGGTCCGGGGGCTCAGACCCATATACTCCATCAGGAGTCCCCCACTCTCTAAGCTGAGATGTAGACGAAGTGAAGGAGAGTAGATTCATGTGCTTTGTTGCCCTTGGCCGTTACCTGTTCCTCGTTGTGGACAGGGAGGCCGTTGCTTACTTGATGTCTTCGTTTTGGGACGATGAGTGTCCTTCTTTCAATGGTGGCCGTTGAAGGCATGTTTTGCTCGGGCGCTGATGGTTGAAGTTTGTATTTGGGCCGATGAGGCCACTGAAGTTATTCCTTGCTTGGAGGACGATGGCGTCCTTTCCTTTGGGTGGCCGATGAGGGTGTTTGTGCGCTCCTTTTGGCCATCGTTGATTAGCTTTCGTGTTCTTGGCCGAAGGGCCCGTCAAGATTAATTGTTGGCGGAGGACGATGAGTGTCCTTGCCTCTAGTGGCTTGTTGGCCGTTGCTGATGACGTTATGGGCCTTTGGCCGATGAAGTTCTGTTGTGCTGTATGGATGATGTGGCCATGCTTTGTGGTCACGTTGTTTGCATTTTCTTTCGTTTTGTTGAGGCCGGTGTAGTCCCCCAGTCCCCCACTGCTTCAGGCCGAAGAGTGTGAGGGGTGAAGGAGTTGCTTGAGTCCCCGGCCGAAGCGGTCTCTCCGTAGTCCCCCTGAATCCAACTCTCATGGCGATTTTCTGGCCAAGGTAACCCTGTGGGAGAACCCTTGTGCGCAGATCGCATGTAGAGAGTTATCATCAAGGGTCATGACGAGGAGCCGATGGCTTGTGGGCTCTTGGGTTCTTTGATCTTGTGGCCGTTACGTTCCCGGCCGTTGCCGTCTCCTTATTGTTTGGCAGTTGTGATCTTGGCGGGCAAGTGGGACGTTGTGGGCGCTTGCTGGTACTTGTAAAGCCGGCAAGTGTGTGGGCCGTTGGAGTCTGGTTTGCCAGTGGGCTGTTGATGTGGGTTGGGCCTGGCCCGTTGGTGACGTGGTGGCCTCCCGTTGGTGGCCGTTGATGTGGCCACTGGGAGAGTGCCACGTGTAGTGACCGTTGGGTGGAGGGGTCTATAAATACCCCTTCCCCTCCGAAGAGGAATCACATTTGCATTCTGAATTGTCGAAGTGCTGCCCATTTTTCTAGAGAGATAAACTCCCAAGCTTGTTCTTCGTGTTCGTCGTTGTTCAAGGTTAGTGTTCATCACGATCTTCCTCACTTTTCATATTTTGCTTCCTAGATTAGTGATCTAGTGTTAGGTGTTTGAACACCCTTAGATCTTAAGTTAAATCTCCTTAGGCCCGTAGTAGTAGTTATGAAGAGCTTGAACGACGACTACTACCCCTACGACGACCAGCCCTCCACGAGGTCGCTTGACTACAAGGTGCTCGAGGAGTTTGAGGAGGAGATAGAGCGTTTAAGTCCGTACAAATCCGGAGAGCCAGTGGACGAGGAAGGCGAGGACGAGGAGTCCGCCTCCTCTTCAAAGGGTGAGGACGTAGGTGCGTCCCGAGTGGTGGACGGGGCGTCCACTTCTGCTGTCATTCCGTGCCCGAGGCCGGTGTCTGCTGTGAAGGGAGCAGCTAAGCCGAAGAGAGTGAGGAGGCCGAAGAGTGGGCCGGGCACCTCCCAGTTGGATCTCACCAACATCTTCCTGATCAAGCCGGAAAGCAGTGCGGCCGACTATCTCGTTGCCCAGATGTACGTGGGGCCGTTCGGGCGGGTTAGGGCACCCAAGCCGACGGACCATGTTCTTCTTCCACCACCGGGGTACTTTGGAGTATACCCGATGAGTTTTGCTAAGGGGTTGAGGTTCCCCCTTCACCCTTTCATTACTGAGTACCTGGACATGGTAGGGCTTCCTCCGGCCTTGCTGACGCCGAACAGTTACTCCTTGATGGTGGGGTTTTTGCTCCGGTGTGAGGAGTTGGGCTACAGGCCGACGACGGCACTATTCATGAATCTGTACCAGATAGGCCGAGGAAGAGGAGTTTCACGGATTTGCCTACGTCCATTCATGGGTGGAAGAGCAAGTTCGTGTTTGTGTCCATTGGTGAGAGTGGCACCGAGTTTCCCTCCCTCGGCCATACCGGGAGGTTTAACCTGCACGACCCGCCGAAGAGCTCTATTCTGGACGCTCAGGTGGAGGCTTTCTTGGAAGGGGGCCGAGGAGCGTGAAGGATTACATCACTGAATACAAGATGGCCGCCCTCGGCTTCGTGAGGTACTATGTCTATGGTGACAAGGAGGATGACCTCCAACTCTGGCCGAGGATGACCACCACCTTTGAGGAGGCCGACGGCCCGGACTTGGGCATTCCTGCTGAGGCCGATGGTAATTCTTTCTTCGGCTTTCTGTCTTTATGTTTTGTCCTTTGCCTTACTAATCTGTTTGTGTTTTTCCTTTGTAGATTTTGTCATGGACCGTCGTTCCATGATGGCTATTGCCAAGGCCAAAGCGGCCGAGGAGATTGCTGCTAAGGCGGCCGAGGCGGCCAGACGTGCCGCGGCCGGTGGGAGCGGGGCTACTGCTGATGCGGCCCCAAAGCCTGCTCCATTGAAGAAGAAAAGGTCGGCCTCTGACGGCCAAAAAAAGTTAACTGAGGCCGGCGTGAGCGTCTCGAAGAAGACGAAGAGGGCTCCTTCCCCTTCTCCGGCTACTGAGGCCGGTACTCTGACTGTCCCCATCGTGGACGATGGTGGTCCCGTTGTGGACCTTACTGTTGCTGACGATGCTGCCCCAGCGCTTCCTCTCGTCCAGGAGCCGCGGACGAAGAGGGCCGGCAAGGAGATTGCCGGTGCCACCTACCAGAAGGTGGTAGAATACCCCGTCGGCGGGGGCGTGTTTAATGATCTCGTCCCTGGCCACGTCGTCCTGGCCCAGGCCATGCCGGCCAAAGATCGGGCTTATCTGAAGAAGCTTGGGGACGAGAAGATTTACGAGGGCGGCATGGACCTCTTCGTCCAAGTAAGTTACTGTCCTTATGTTTTTTGTTCCCTTTTCGTCTGTGTAGAGTCTTTTGCCTGACCTTTGTTTTCCTTCTGCAGAGTGCCTTCATGCTTATGGAAAGCCATAAGAGGCAGTATTGGGAGATAGCTCGCTTGAAAGGGCTGGAGCAGAAGGCTGCCTCGGCCGACGAGGCGGTAGCTTGCCTTGATCGGCTCCGGGAGGATGCCAAGGCGCTGCAGGCAAAAGCTGATGAAGCCGCCGCGGCCAGGGACGATGCCCTGGTCAAGCTCGAGGAGAGCAAAAGGGAGCTCGAGGAGTCCCAAAGGGCGCTTGAGGCCGAGAAGCGCAAGAGCGAGGAGGCCGTCAAGGCGAAAGCTGAGGCCGAGGCCGCCGCCGTGAGGGCTGCTGATGAGGCCGTTGAGAAGTTCCTGGCCGAGGGGTGGAAGGCCGATGAGAGGCTTCCCTGGTGCTACGAAGTGGTGGCCGCCAGGCTTGAGAGTTGGGGGATGAACTCCCCCGCCGGCCGGGAATATTTCAGCCGGGAGATGTCCGTTTATTACAACCTGGGCCAGGAGCGGATGCAAAGGCTCCTGTGTCGGCGGCTATCCCGGGCGTTGAAGGCCATGAATTACACGTCTGGGTGGGCTAGACGGAACCTGAAGCTGCCAAAGCTGATGAAGGATCCAGAAGAGCAGGCCAAGCTTCCGCTGTCGGAGCGAGAGTCCCCCATAGAAAGCTCCGGCCTCGGCGAGCCGGACTACACTGAATTCGACTTCCTGGACGATGCCACCAGTGCTGCACCCGCCGACGGCCAGGAGGCTGAGGCCGAGGAGGTCGAAGAGGCAGCCACGGATGGGGGTGCCCCAGAGGCTTGATCGGCTACTCCCTGCTCCTTTGTAATTTGCTTTTCATTGCTTTGTCTAACTGATGTAATGACCGAAGCGCCCCCCATTGTAATGAATTGATTAAATGAAAGAATTTTTGTCATCCTTCTCGGCTTTGAATCCATTGTATGCTTGTTTGCCTTTTGTCATTTCAATTCTGTAAATTGTCTAAATGTCAAGTCATAACTTGGGTCGCCCACGAGTGTCCACTACGTCCGTGAGGTCGTCCACCCTGTCCGGTGGCCTGGTCGGCTTGTTCGTCGTTGCTGAACTATCATAACACTTAGGATTTTTTCCGAAAATTTCCTAAGTGTTTTGGATTCTTGTAGTTGCTTCCCTTCCGGCCTGGTGGCCTTGTCGGCCTGACCGGTGGTCCTTGGCTACCATAACACTTAGGCTTTTATCAAAAATTTCCTAAGTGTTTTTGGGTTCACTTAGGTGCTTTCTTCTCGGTCTGGTGGCCTGATCGGCCTGACCGTCATTTCTGTACTATCCTAACACTTAGGATTTTTTTTTGAAAATTTCCTAAGTGTTTTGGATTCGTGTAGTTGCTTCCCTTCCGGCCTGGTGGCCTTGTCGGCCTGACCGGTGTTCCTTTGCGTTGTGGCCGAGAAGGGCACCTTCACCCTGATCTTTTGAACTTAGAATTCTTCTAAGTACACATGCAGAGGTGCAGATAGCTAACGGCCTTGGAGTGTACTGGCACCCGCTTCGGCTGTAGTTCCTTTATTTGAGTACTTAGATAATTTTCTAAGTATAAATGTTTGGCATTTACTTCTTTGCGGTGCCGCTGCCGGCCAAGGTCTGGCTTGTGGCCGATGAGGGTGCTGGATAAGGAATGGCTTGTCCAAGGAGATGGTCCTGCCTTCGTCGGCTAGCCATGGTTCCTTGTTGATGAACCCTCTTTTCCCAAGATTTTTTCTAAGTGTTTGGGAAACACTTAAACAAATTCCCAAAGAACTTTCGCTCGACCAACGGCCTTGGTTCCAGTGCCTGCGTCGGCCATCCGAGGTGCTGTGGCAAGTAGAGGTTGTTTCTTGATTGCTTGATCCTTTCGCGGGTGTGATAAGTGCCCGTTTCGTCCTGGTCATCCTCAGGATTGCGACGCTCTGTTTCATACCAAGCGTTGGTGCCTCAAAGGACTATGGCCGATGAAGGTCACCTCTCGCGTGTCACCCAACCGATGCGGTTAGGGTTTTATAGGCGTGTGTTTCGGCCTTGATTATTCCCTTGTAGTATGTGGACGTGTCGTCCATGTTACCTGTCAGTGGTACTATACTTGTGTTCAACTGATATGTACTTGGCCTATTTGGGCCTGAGTTGTGGGGATTTTATTTTTTCATTGCTCGAGGCCGGCTAGTGTGCGCGGCCGTCGGCTTCCCTCTTTTTCCCTTGTATGTTTTTTTTTCGTTTCGGGGGGTATCCTTCTTTCAGGCTTCGGCCGAAGGGTGTGCTCGTCCTTCGGCCGGTTCGGACTTCGTTTATAACGTCCGTGGTCTCAGGGCGGGTCCCGTCGCCTATTTATGACGCGGGCTAGACTTTTGGTCGGTTTCCAACGGCTGTCGTTGCCCATCCCTGAGTTTTGGGATTTTGTCACCTCGGCCATGATTTCAGGCCTGTCGTCCTGCGTTCTGGCGCGTGGACGACACGGTGAGCTTCCCGTTTCAAGACGTGGGCCGTTTGCGGGCCCCTCGTCCTGGGGACATCGTCGGCCATGCCTGAGCGTTTCACTTCTAGGCTTACGGGGCCAGGACGATGTGCTCTCTCAGCTAGGCCTGAGCCCTTCGCTGATACAAAATACAATGGAGTGCCTGAGCTTGTCGCTCGTAGGCTGCAAATGCAAGGGGCTATGTCGGCCAGACCTGAGCCTTTCGCTCTAAGGTGGCCGACGAGGGCACCTGCTAATGTTTTACCTTGAATTTCCAGAGAAAAAATCAGAACATGATTTTATTCATAAGTGGCTCGAGGCCGAGGGTGGCGTTCAATCAGTAACCCGTTAAGCGGTGAGGGCTTCGCCGTCTACACCTCCTCCGGATTACCGATAAAACTTCACCAGATGGTGTACATTCCATGTTCGTGGTACATTGGACCCATTCGGGCGTTTAAGCTTGTAGGTGCCGGGTCTGACCACGGCGCTGACGATGTAGGGCCCTTCGTACTTCAATGCTAGCTTGCCACCCTGTGTCGGCTGGCTTGCTTCCCTTCGGCGGAGGACGTAGTCCCCCACCTGAAATTCCCGGGAACGTACCTTGGCGTCATAGTATGATTTTACTTGACGCCGGTAGTTCTCTGCTCGGACGTAAGCTTGCTCACGCCTCTCATCGACCAGGTGCTGGTCAATCTTCATGCTTTCCTTGTTGGCGTCAGGCTCGTATTGTTCCACCCGTCGGCTGGGGATGGCAACTTCCGTGGGCGCCTTTGCTTCAAAGCCGTAGCACAGGGCGAAAGGCGTTTCACCTGTCGCCCTCCTCGGCGTGGTTCTGTAGCACCACAGGATGTTGGGGAGCTCGTCGACCCAACTACCTCCTGCGGCCTGGAGGTTCTTCTTCAGCCCCTCCATAATTGTTCTGTTGGCGTTCTCGACCTGCCCGTTGCCCTGAGGATAGGCAACGGAGGAGAAACGGTGCCTCACTCCAAACTCTCGGAGGAGCTCCTGGAAAGGGGCTGCCTCGAATTGGGTGCCGTTGTCTGATATAATCTCTTGAGGGACGCCAAAGCGTGTGATGATGTTCTTGTAAACAAATTTCTGGCATCTGGCCCCCGTGATGCTGGCCAAGGGCTCCGCCTCGACCCACTTGGTGAAGTAGTCGACGGCGACGATGATGTAGCGGTTATTTCCGGCGGCTCTGGGTAGGGGGCCGACCAGGTCAATCCCCCTTCTGGAGAATGGAATTGCGGTGCTGACAGGGGCATAATTGACAGCTGGCCGACCAGGGGCCTTCTGGAGCACCTGGCAGGTGGTGCACTTCCTGGTCAGGTCAGCGCAGTCGCGTGCCATCGTCGGCCAGAAGAAACCCTGGACGACGAGACGCCAGGACATGCTGAAAGGGCCCTGGTGTGAGGAGCAGACGCCACAATGAACTTCTTCCATGGCTGTGTCGGCCTCGTCCTGGTGCAGGCATCGGAGGAGAGTGCCATTATAGGACCGTTTGTAGAGTTTGCCATCTTCTATGGTGTAGCTTGGGGCCCTAAGTTTGGCAAGTTTGGCCCTCTCCTCGTCCGGGGGAAGCTCCCCCGTTGTGATGAAGGTGGCGATGTCGGAGATCCAGTCCTCTGGTCGCTGTTGGACGCACAAGACGGGGCTGGCATGGATGCTGGACATGCTCAACTCATCGATCTTGGCCAACTGGGAGATGTGCTCCGGGGTGTCCGAGCTGAGCTTGGAGAGGATGTCGGCTTCGGCGTTCTCGGCCCTTGGGATCTGAGTGATCTCGTGGGTTTCAAACGCTTTCAGCAATTCCTCCGCCGCTTGTTTGTACTGCTTCATCCGGCCTTCCTTTGCTTCGTACGATCCCTCCACCTGGCCCACTACCAGTTTGGAGTCGCACTTGATTCTGAGGTGCTTGGCCTTGAGGCCGGCGGCGAGTCTGAGACCGCTGAGGAGGGCCTCATACTCGGCTTCGTTGTTGGATACCCTGAAGTTGAAGCGGATGACATAGTAAGCTCTGAATCCTTCAGGGGATATGAGGACGACGCCGCCGCCGCATGATTTCGCGGCCGATGAGCCGTCAGTGAACAGGGTCCACGTATCGTCCGGCTCCGGCCCGGAGTTGGCGACGGCCGTCTCCCTAGCTGTGCATTCAATGACGAAGTCGGCCAAGGCTTGCCCTTTGATAGATGGCCTTGGCTTGATCTCAATCTGAAACTGGCTGAGGAAGATCGCCCATTTCACCATCCTCGAGGAGCTGGTGGGGCTCCTCATGAGCGCGCCGAGAGGCTGCTGGGTCAGCACATGGACGGTGTGGGCCTGGAAGTAGTGTCCAAGCTTCTTCACTGTGTGGACGATGGCCAGCACCGTCTTCTCAATGGGGGAGTACCTGAGCTCGGCCTCCCTGAGTGTCTTGCTGATGTAGAAGATGGCCTTCTGCACCCCTTCGTCTTCACGGATGAGCACGGAGCTGATGGCCGACGTGCTCACCCCTAAGTACAAGAAGAGGGTTTCGCCGGCTCTAGGCTTGGAGAGCACGGGTGGGGACGACAAGTACCTTTTCAATTCGTCGAATGCCTCCTGGCATTCCGTCGTCCACTTGAAGCTACTGGCTTTACGCATGATCTGGAAGAAGGGGAGCGCCCTCTCGGCTGACCTGGAGAGGAACCGGTTTAAGGCCGCCAGGCGCCCCATCAGTCGCTGAACCTCTTTGACGTTGCGGGGCGACTCCATGTTGATGATAGCCTGCGTCTTCTCCGGGTTTATCTCGATGCCTCTCCGGCTGACCATGTAGCCAAGGAACTTGCCGCCCTGGACGCCGAAGGCGCACTTCTTGGGGTTAAGGCGGAGCCTGAACTCCTTCATGATTTCAAAGATCTCCCGGAGGTCGTCGGCGTGGGAGGTGGCCTGCCTGCTCTTGACGATCATGTCGTCGACGTACGCCTCCATCGTCCGGCCAAGGATCGCTCTGAAGATTTTGGCCACCATCCTAGTATAGGTGGCGCCAGAGTTTTTGAGTCCGAAGGCCATGACGAGGTAGCAAAATATTCCCTCTGGGGTCATGAATGCCGTCTTCTCAGCGTCATCTTCATGCATGGAGATTTGGTGGTACCCTCTGAAAGCGTCGAGGAACGACATCAACTCGCACCCCGCCGTCTCGTCCACCAGCTGATCAATGTTGGGGAGAGGGAACGGGTCCATGGGGCACGCCTTGTTCAGGTCAGTGTAGTCAACACACATTCTGAACGTCGGCGGTTTCTGTGCGAGGACGACGTTGGCCAACCATGTTGGGTACTTCACCTCTTTGATATGTTTGATCGATAGGAGCATGGCGACCTCCCCTTTGACGAAGTCCCGCCTGTCAGCGGACAAGTAGCGCCGCTTCTGTTTGACGGGCGCGGAGGCCGGATCGACGGTCAGCCGGTGAGTGATCACCTGGCGGCTGATGCCTGGCATATCGTCCGGGCCCCACGCGAAGACAACGGCGTATGACCGTAGGACGAGGAGGATGGTGTCTCGTTGGTCCTGGGGGAGTTGCTTTCCGACCCTGAGAACCCGCTCCGGCCGGGAGGTATCCAGAGGGATTTCCTCGACCTCCTCGGCCGGCTCCGCATGTGGCCTCTCCTCGTCCATGGCGACGGCGGCCGTAATGGTGTCTATCCTCTGTCCCTCCCTTTCGGCCGGCCTCGTTAGCTTGAGGTAGCAAGCTCTGGCTATCCTCTGATTTCCTCTGGCGTAGCCGATGCCGTCATTGGTGGGGAACTTTAAGCATAGGTGCTTCATGGAGATGATGGCCTCCAAGTCCTCCAGCGCTGGCCGGCCCAGGATCAGGTTGTGGGCGCACTGGAGGTTGACCACCATGAACTCCATGTCAATTTTGGCATGGTGGGGGCCGTCACCGACTTCCACGGGGAGGACTATCGTGCCCTCGGCGTCGATAGAGTCCCCGGTGAAGCCGGATAACGGGGTCTTTATCGGCTTTAGCAGGGCTCTGTCCAGCTTCAGCTGCTTGAAGGTGTCCAAGTACATCACATTGACGGAGCTCCCCGTATCGATGTAAGTACGGTGGATGATGGAGTCACCGATCTCACATCGGATGACGAGGGCGTCCCTGTGTGATTCCGTACCCGGAGGCAGATCCTTGTCGGTGAAGGTGATCGCCTCCGTTCGCTGCTTCTTCGGCTGGGGGGGAACGTGGGACACCTCCCCAATGTAAAGGGATTGGGCCCATTTCTTTCTCTGAGTGGCGGAGTCCCCCCCAGTGTTTCCACCTACGATGAGGTGGATGTGATTCTTCTTCGGCGGAGGCTCTTCGAAGTCCTCGTCGTCGCTGAGTCTACCAATCTCCCGTTTCTTCGCAGAGGGTTCGCCCCCATGTTTGCCGGTGTTTACCCAAGTGTTCTTGCGTGGGCCACCTTTGACAAACTAGGAGAGTTCCCCCTGGCGAATAAGGCGCTCGATGGCCTTCTTCAATGTGATGCAATCGTCGGTGTTGTGTGACGAGTTCTTGTGGAACCGGCAGTATGTGCCGCCCTGTTGGATGGCAAGGATCTCCTCGGCCGGCCGGGGAGCCTGCTCGATGAGGCCATGCTTCTCGGCATAATCGAGGATGGTGCCGACCGGGTGGGTGAGGGTTACCCCCGGCCGTTCCAACCTCGGCCGCCAGTGGCGGTCCTTCTTACTCTGTCCACCAGAGCCGTGACGGCCCTGGGCACCCTGGCCGGTCAGGGACGGACCCGGGGCCGGCGAAGGATTTGTCTTCTTGGGGGGATGGCCCCCCTCTCTCTTGTGATTGTGGAGCTCGTCGGCGTCGGCGTACAAGCCTCCGCGCTGGAGCGCCTTGGCGTACGACCTCAGGGGGTCGGTGATGAGGCTCCTAGCGTACGGGGAGCTGCGGAGGGCTCCCTGGTACAAGGCAAGGAGGGTGCGCTCATCGGCCCCCTCAACCTCCTCGGTCTCCCTCGTCCACCGATCGATGAATGACCGGAGGGACTCCTCGTGCTGCTGCTTGACGGAGAGGAGGTGGGTGAAATACTTCTTGGCGCGCTTCCTCCCGGCAAAGTGAGTGAGGAAGCGCTGGGCGAGATCCTGCCATGAGTCGATGCTTCCTTCTGGGAGCCCGTTGAACCACTCGTACGCTGGTCCCTCGAGAGTAGAGAGGAACCAACGGCAGAGGTATTCGTCGGACGCGTTCACCATCAGCATGTTGTTCTGGTAACGGCTGAAGTGTTCCTGGGGGTCTGATCGGCCATCGTAGGACTTGATGGCGTTCCCCCTGTACTTCTCAGGGATGGGGGCCGAGAGGACCCTGTTGGTCAAGGGGGTCCCCATCCTGACCTGGATGATGGGGTCACCCCGTCCTTCGGCCAGCTCCCTCTCCAGGGCGCTAACTTTGTTCATGAGCGCGTTGAGGCCGGGATCGTTGGAGGCGCCGGCCGTAGGGATGTTGGCCGACTGCTTGGCCTCCATCTGAGCTAGCCTCCTCTCCAGCTGGGCGATGACCTCGTCCCGGGGGTCCCTGGCGGCCGTAGCGCCGCCCGGCTGGTTCCTCATGCGCTCGTTGTGAGCCGCGTTGATCTGGTGACGCACGTCATCCTCGTGCAATTTTCCCTTGCCCTTGTCCGGGCGGGGCTGGTCCGCTGTCCGGGACACAGACCCCAAGCTTTCCCTTGGTGAGCCAGGACGAGGATCACCAATCCGTCCCGCCATCCTCTCCGAAACCGGACGACGGCGCGTGTCACCTAGCCTATTGAAGGCAGAGGCTTTTCCACGCGCTGGGGTCTGCCCGGGCCGAGGAGGGGAAGCAGGGTGGGAGTGGGACGACGTCGTGTCCTGGGGCACCACCCCCTCATCGTTGGCTATCTGGACGGCCAACGGTTGGTGCTGAGGAGGTTGAGTGACGTTCCCCCCGGTCCTTGGCAAGAGTGCGCTGAGGACGGTGGGGTTCTGAGCTAGGCTGGCAATGATGACCGACAGCGCGGCCTGGACCTGTGGATCCACGGACGGAGAGGCCGCGGCCATAGGCTGGGTCGGGGCGTGGTCCGTCTTCTCAGCCCGTTTCTTTTCCAGGCCGAGGCGGGCGTCGGGGACTCCGCTGTTGAGTTGGTTGCGGAGGTCCGTCGTGAGGTTGAAGGCCTCCTGGAAGAGGTCCCCTCCGCCGACCTGGTCGGCCGTGGCGTCCTCATCGTGCTCCCTGGGCTCTTGGTCCTCAGGGATGGCTTTGCTGATGAGGTTGCGGTTTGACTTAGTTCTCCCCATGGTCAGTGGTTAGCTGTGCTTGGTAGCGACGAGGGGTGCTAACTTGATTGTTCTAGCTCTCAACGAGAGCACCAAATGATAGAGTATATCTAGAGAGAAGTGAGAGCTAGAGAGAGAAGTGCAATAATATGCTTCAATAGAATGATTTCGTAACCCCTATAACTACTCCCAAAGGGAGTATTTATAGAGAAAATTAGGGTTGGGCTCCCAAGCCTTGGGCTTGGGAGGCCCATTTACAACTGGACCGCTACTGGGCCGAATACAAAGCCACTAATGGGCTGTACAAATGAGTAAGTATAAAATCCGATTCTGTGAGGTCTTCGTGGCCGACGAGGGATTGGCCGACGAGGGCACGGCCGACGAGGGCACCCGGGTTCTTTGGACTCAGGACCATAATCCGAGTTGGCCCCTTTTCGGCCGACGGGGGCGTCCTGGCCGACGAGGGCGCCACTCTGTGCCTTGTGCTTTCTGTTCTTCCGAGTATGTGGGTCCGGGGGCTCAGACCCATATACTCCATCAGAAATCAAGCTCGAACTCGAGTATATAATTCAAAAAAATCTTTGTTCGATAACAACCCTGGGCTAAATTTGGTATGTATAGTAAAAAAAATTACTGCTGCTTAGCCCACCCCATCTCTCGATCCTGGATCCGCCCCTGGTTCTTAGTTTTTCAAGATTCAGAGTGTATATTTGGTGTTTAATTATTTCCTAAGTTGTTTTTGACTTGCTTATTGTGCATGTGTGCACTACTATGATCGTAGTTTATATTTGTTTGATTTTTCCAAATTTCTTTTTATTTGTTTCTTTATTTACGGGCATGCATGTAGTTTATACGTAGTATATTTTTGGACGTAATTAAATTTTTATTACTCTACAATAGATTTTGCCATTTTCATATCCACAAAAGATTGTAGTTTTAATTATTGTGCGAAACTAATTGCTACGATTGAATAGTTTTGATGACTATATTCCAAAATTAACAAATGAGCTAAACAATTATTTAGTCTATTAAGCATATCCGCATATAAAATTATAGTTTGAAACAACAACAACAACAACTAAGCCTTATTCCTAAAAAAATATGGAGTCGGTAAAGAACAATCTAAGATAATATGTCTTTTTCTAAAACCCGGTCAATTAGGGTCAAAACCGGATCGGACCGGAAAATTCAGGTCTAGACCGGTCTGGACCGATTAGATTCAGGTCCGGTCTTCGGTCCATAGAAAATGATGATTCCGGTTCCGGTCCTAACCGGTTCTTGTCCGGTCCGGTTTTGGACCGGTACACACCCTACTTATAGAAATATGTGTAGTTGTGAGTTCTTATAATACATTAGATTTTGATGTTGTTTTTCTGAATTAATGCTAATTAAATAAATAAATACAAAAATATGGTTGAATTAATAATAATTTTCAAAATAGTGCTTACTAGAACACTAGTTAAACTTAGCCGCCGCCAAAGTGGGTAAACTACATCCTACAGCCGGCTGTACCGTGCGCACAGTACAACCAGGGTTTTTTAGGCGTTCTTCGCTTCTTCCCTTCACACCAGCTCCGCACCAGACGTTCGCATAGGACTTCACAGGCGTTTTTGCACCAGATTTCGCACAGGACTTCACATCTCGCTTCTTCAATCTCGCTGGGCTTCTACGATCTGATTTCGCACCAGCAGCTCTTCATCAAAGTTCACCACTCACCCATCTTCTCCACCCCTTCTCATCCATCTGCTTTTCTTTCCGGCGTAGTTGCCGGTGTAGTTTTTACTATTTGAGCATGTGATTTTAGGAGACAAGGGGAGCCTACTTCGTTGCTGAGGAATCTTTGATGTTGTTAATCTCAAATGAGTTTTAAATTAAACTTAAATGAGTATACGCCTAAAAGTAATGAAGATATTAATATTGAACATATTAAAAATGAGTTGTATATTAAGATCAAATTAATACAACGTTCAAAACGAATGAGCATACAAAAATGCGTTTTTTAATTTTTTGATAACCCATTTTCTAAGGTATAAATGCTCATTTGGTACCGCTTTATACTCATTTAAAAAGTTTTACATTTCAAACATATACTGAAAAATAATAAAACAAAAGTGAATTGGAAGACAGGGAGCAGAGAACATTAATGCTCATTAGTAGACTCATAATACTAAAAAAACAGACTTGATGCTCACCAAAATTGCATTAATGCTCATTTAAGAGAATATGTGTTCTCGTCAAAATTACAAAATTATCATCGATCGTATGGTTGACACGGTACGACCGCCTATACAGTATAAGCTTCCGCCAAAGTGGCGAGTTATGCATAACCGATGATCTCAACGTAGCAATCAACAATCCAAAAACGTAGCAATCAACAATCCAATTGCCTAGATGGGTCCCTCACATTATAAAAATCATTTTTTCCTTTCAATAGCTTTACATTTTTTTGCTCTATTTTGTATAAACATATATATCAAAATTCACGATTTTTTATGATCTTTCGTTTGATACCAATGTGGCATGTGTAATTTAAAAACAATTGAAGAACATATGGAGCCCGTTTTGTGACCCTGCTTTTCAGCTTATCAGTAGCATATCAACCAATTTTTTCACCAAACACGAAACTTTTGATTTTGCGCGCTTAATTGTGTAATAATCAAAATAAGTAAGGTTGAAATTAGTTTTATAGTTGCATTAATTGAAGTTACTGTAGATGTCTATTTTAACTGTTTTTTCTTTATTATATTAATAGAAAATATTTTGAGTTTTTCCTCGTACTAATGCTAATTGAATAAATAATTAAGAAAATAAGGTTCGGGTAACCATTACCGGATCGAGTTTAGAGTTTTTTATTCAGATTTTTATCTTTAGATTTGAGATACAATAAGACACCATGAGGTCGTTTGGTAACACTCAAAGTGACTGAATCAGCTGATTCTGTTGAAATTTATGAAGTTCGGTTTGAAATGAGTTTATTGACTGATTCTGCTTATTTATTAAAAAATTATACTTAAAAATATTTTCTATTAATAAAATAAAGAAAAATAACTAAAATGGACATATACAGTAACTTTAACCAATGCAGCTGGAAAATTAATTTCAACCTTACTTATTTTGATTATTACACAACTCCACGCACGAATTTAAAAGTTATGTATTTGGTGAAAAGTTGGTTGATAAGACTGAAAATCCGAAAAACAAGATCACCGAACGGGCTTCATATATTCTTCAGTTTTTTTAATTACATATGCAACATTGATGTCAAATGAAAGATTATAAAAAACTATGAATTTCGATTAATTTTTTATACAAAATAGAAAAAAAAATTATAGTTATTTAAAGGAAAAAATGATTTTTATAATTCGAGGGACCCATCTTGGCAATTGGATTGCTATTACTACGTTGAGTTCATGCGTCATGCGCTCATGCGGATTTGTTTGAGTTTTTTGTCCAAAATAATGCTAACTAAAAAAGTATTTACGGTTAAAACTATTTACCAAAACAATGCTAGTACAAACTCTACTTAGAAAGCCGCCAAACGAGCTGACTACTCTCCTCAAACATAAGGAAGTGTGCGTAGAAGGTAGCTGGTGGGGAAGAAAAAGAGGTGGGGCCATATTAAATAAAATTTCCTTTTTCTTTAAATTTCTATAACTTTCATAATTTTGCCCCAACTTTTTTAAAATATGTATCAAATTTTATAACTTTTTGTGATCTTTCACAAATATTGAAGTATAAAATTTAAGAAATTATGAAGATCATATGAGGTGAAAAAACTAATTACAACTATCTACTCTTAATAAACCTAACTCTCGACCAATTTAAACGAAAATTTTGTATTCAACCGATCAATTTGGTTTTTATTGCATTAAAATGTTCAACTTTTTAAATCTAAAATGTAAAACATTTCAACACAAAACTCTTAATTTAATTTTTACATTAAAAAGTCTTTTCTTGAAGAATATATTAAAGATGTAATCATAATGATGAAATTTTAATTTTATCGATCACTCGATCTACTTATGAAAAAAGTTGAGCTTAAAAAACTCTAGGCAATCAAATCTTCATATTTTTGTAAGGAAAAACCAAATTGATTGGCTGAATACAAATTTTTCATTTAAACTGGTGGAGAATTAGGTTTATTGAGAGTAGATAGTTGTAATTAGTTTTTTCACTTCATATGGTTTTCAGAATTTTTTGAATTTTATATATTCAATATTGGTGTCATATGAAAGATCACAAAAAGTTATAAAATTTGATATATGTTTTAAAAAAATTGGAGCAAAATTATGAAAGTTATAGCAATTTAAAGAAAAAGGAAATATTATTTTCAGCACCCGAATTAAATTCAATTTCCACCTCATTTACGTACCACATCATCATATTTTCATGTATGTATGTATGTATGTATGTATGTATGTATGTATGTATGTATGTATGTATGTATGTATGTATGTATGTATGTGTGTGTGTGTGTACGTATGTACGTATGTAGGTATGTACGTATGTACGTATGTACGTATGTAGGTATGTACGTATGTACGTATGTACGTATGTACGTATGTACGTATGTATGTATGTATGTATGTATGTACTTTGTATTATTGGATGAATAATTATTAATTTATTATTATTGTTGTTGTTATTATTATTGTTGTTGTTGTTATTGTTATTATTATTATTATTATTCTCAATACAATAATAATTATTTATCCAATAATACATAATGTTTATACATAAATACATACATATGTATAATATATAGTAGAGTTCAAATCAAACCGGCCTAACGGGAATCGTATCATGCCAACTTCATATATATAAATTAAAATTAATATTAACCGCTAGATAAATGTATTATATACTCTCTGCGTTCCTATTTAAAAATCACTAACAAATCTCATTCATGAATCTTGCTGTAATCCTGACTAACTGAGAGATACTAGTTTTTCACCCATGCGTTGCACGGGATGTAATTTCTTAATTTTTAATTTAATATTTATATAATTGTTCTAAATTTAATTTAGAATCATTATTTACACAAGATAATACACTTGTACGATAAATTAGTTTGATATGAGTTTCTCCTTCCATCTTGTTAAGATTGTTTAGTCTTTCCTTTTTATCTGTCCCACTAAAATTTTCCATTAGAATTTTGGAAAAGTTTGTATGATTCTAAATCATTTTAACTTTATCAATTAAGTATCAATTACAAAAACTCTTTTTTTCAATAACTGCACCACATCTTCATGTCCCAGTGTTAGTGGAACAGAGGTAGTACAATTTTTTTACACCAGGGGGGTCTGGGGGACAGGGTCTAGGGGGGGGGGGGGGGTTGGAGTAATCAGGGCTGAAATTCACTCCATTGAGTTTCAAACCCTTATGTGCCTAGCGGGTTTCGAACTCGAAACCTTCCACTAGACACGATAACCTCACAACCAGCTGAGTTGAAATGCTATGTTATGAAAATTTTCAATTATTATAATAAAACACGTGTAACTCAATATTTTATTGACTATTGTGGAATTCAATGAAGTTTTAAAATTGGTTTAATGCATCAAATTCCGTGATATGTACATTCGGTACATTGGTCCCTTTAAAAATGCATCAACCCCCCTCGTGTTATAATTATTCATGCGCAAAATTCTAATTAACAAATTCAATTGTCAAAGAAAAGAAAATTAATTATTATTCATTAGTATTTTTGGATAAATTAGAGATCTTGATAAACTCACTTGCATATTCAATCATCATAATATTAACATAAATGATTTCCAAATTGTTAAATATGTTTTTGAGGGGATTTTTGCGCATGAATAATTATAATAGTGAGAGTTTTACGCAATTTTTAAACATAGAATTGTTATCTGGGTTGATTTCACCCCTTGATACTACCACATACAAAATGACTATTAGGTAAATAAAGGACCGAGTAACATAATGAGGTGCATTTACATGTTCCAAGAAATTGAGATACACTTCCCCCAATAGATTTTATAGAAATTACCTCAAATAAGAGTAAAACTATGGCAAAAATAAAAAATATGACATCTTATATTTTTATTCCAAAATAGGACCATATTACTCCTATTTGGAAGCAAGACTGTTTTTTCATTCCATTCTTACCCCTCCTTTAAATATGAGTAAAAAGTAGTCAAAAGTCATAATTAAATGTTTTAATTCATAATAAATTCGTAAAAAATAATAAAACCCGTAGAAAAATAATAAAAAATTAATAAAGTATTTATAAAATAAAAACTGAAAAATATATATTTTTTAAAATAAAACTTAATACGGAGTAATAAATAGTAAAAATTCATAAAAAATATATAAATGCCTTTCCCTCCGCTTGTACTGCCTCCCTGCACCATCACCTCCGACCGGTGTAAAAAATGTCATTTTTTCTAAAAAAATGTGTTTTTTTTCTATAAAAAATGCCTTTTTTTCTAAAAAATGTCATTTTTTCCTGAAAATGCCAAAAATGACATATTACTCTTTGAGAATACAAAAATTTTCATTGAATCTGCCATAAATATGGCATTCCTAATGCATGTGGCATTTTTCCCCCCGGTGATCGGAGGTGGTGGTGCTGGGGCGGCAGTGATTTTTTATTTTATTTTTTGCGTTTTTTAAATTTAAGTTTTTTAAAATTATTATTTAAATAACTTTATTAATTTATTTTTGTATTTTTTACGAATTTTAATTATTTTTTATTATTTTATTATAAATTAAAACATTTGAATAGCTGTAAGGGTATATTTATCCAAGACACACATAATTAGTCCTATGAAACATAGTTTTTTTTGTCCTGTTTGTGCAAACGGACCGACTTTTAGTCCTATATGCATAATTAACTCTAGATTCTATCGTATTAGATGTGAAAGGAGCTTGATGGACGATAATTACTATAAAAACAGGACATTAAACCTTAGACTGATACAATATAAATTTGAGATAGTATTTACTCCTTTCACAAAACAATCGTGAAGAGTATTGATGTTTAAATGCATTTAGAGAGGCAAAAAATATTGATCGTAGAAAATATATAAATCATTCAATAAATCAAAATTATCAAAGGCATAAAATGAATACTTAGGTGTACTTGTTTGGAATAAATTCCGCGAGTTCAACATAGGAAATGGAAATGAATATTTCAGAAAATACTTTGCAAGACTGAATTTTCGAATACAACGTTGACCCATTTGAGCTCCGTTAATGACCCATTTTCGCTGATAAGATAGATCTAGGGGGGGAAATTATCGATTTGACTCCAATAATGAACCATTTTCACAAGAAGGAAGAATAAAATGAGGGAAAGAAGAACGGTAAATTAAAAGGATTGAGAAAAAAAGAACATGAGTGGAAAACCAACTAAATGTGTATATATAATTGAATATAAGGAATACGATTAAATTGGAAGAGAAATTGAATACAATTAAACTGAAAAGAAAATTAATATCATTAATTATTATTATTATTATTAGAGGCTTCATACCATTAATTATAATTATCATTATATGGTTTGTAATTATAAACTGAAAAGAAACTTAATACCATTAATTGTAATTATTATTATTATATGGTTTATAATTAGGAGAGAGAAGCGGGAAGTTTTAGGGAGATGGATTCTCCCTTTAGGTATATAGGATTTTATGAATCGTGTACCCGGGGGTAGCTTATCCGAGGGGTTATTGCGAGGAATAACTAGAGAGAAGTCAGAGCAAATAAGTAAGAGAGAGAATGTATTCGAATATGTGAACTTGTTGTGTTTTACAATGGGGAAATGGTCTGCTATTTATAGTAGTAATAAATGCTAGACAGGGACACGTGTCAGCATTCGGGTGGTCGATGGGTCACCTCAACCGGGGTGGCACTGGCACTCGCATGTGGCCGCATTAAATGCGGTGGTTGGATGTGACGCTTGTACTTGGTGCGGCGATCCAGCGCATGTGGAGAGGAGATTGTGTCGAGGAAGATGCCTTTGGTTGCAGGTGATAGTCCAAAGGCTCTTCGTATCGGGGGCCTCATAGTGCCGAGGGCTCCAATTGCCGAAGGCTTGGTTCTCAAGCCTTATTTTCCTGTGATGTTTCCGATCTCGAATCTGTAGACGGTAGCCTTCGGCCATGTCGCCGAAGGCACCCCCATGTGCGTATTGTGGGCTGCTTAGAGCTTTGTCCTGCTGGGCTTGGCCCGTTTGGGCCTGTTGGGCCTGATCGCAGTAGTGGAAGTATGCGGGCCGGGGGTCCCTGGGCCATATACTCCATCAGGAGTCCCTCACTCCTTTTGCCGAAATGTATTTGAGGGAAAAGGAGTACTTGCGTTTGTCATCTGACATTGTTTTGCTGTAGTTGGTAAAGTTTTGCGAAGGGGAAAGTCCCTTAGTTCCCCACATTTTGGGACTTGAAGGATTATGTTGATGTTTTGGGGGCTCTTAACATTTTGCGATTTCCCCCGAAGGGGTCCTCAAGTCCCCCACTCCTTGAGGCACATGTAATGTGGTGAAGAGGAGTAGAGCAGTGCTTGTCTTCAGTATGGGGCCGAGGGCTGACTATTTTCGTTTCATTTTGGGGGGATGCCTCGTTAAAAACCTCAATAGAAAAAACCCTGTGGGAAAAAAAATCTAATGAGGGAAAAAGAGTGCACCGAATTCCCCCAATGATGAATCGAAAAGGTTAACCCTTGGTCTGAGTATAATGCCAATGCCGAAGGCTAGTCTTGATCTGGGGGCTTGCTTGTTGATTTGCCAAAGGCACCCTTTCGATATCCGGTGATACCAAGGGGAGTCCCTCAGTCATTGGGGCTGAGAGCGTGATAAAGTGTGAGTGGTAGTTTCTGTGTTGCCGAGGGGATCCCCTAGCTCTTCATAACTTGGAGGCTGAGGGCTCTCGAGGGCTCCTGTTATTTTATGCCGGAGGCTAACCACCGATGAGGGGGTTTGAAGGTGTGTCCCTAGGGGGTTCCCCGGTTCTCAACATGTTGAGGGCTAAGGGTTCCCGAGGGGTACCCGTGTTTGAGGTGGGGGCTTAACCTTGATAAAGGAGTCTGAAAGAGTTAGCCCGAAGGCTTGTGAGTTAATGCCTGAGGGGTGCCAGCTGAGGGCACCTCTGTGTTTTTCAGAAATAGCCGTTGGAATATGACCATTGGAGAGGGCTTCCACGTGGCGCGTGCTTGTTGGCTCCACGTGGGCGGGCGTCACCGGTTGGTTGAAGCGACGGTGTGTAATGATTATTTTTAAATCGGGGGCCCAGATCTTAGGCCCAGGCCCGGAGTGGGGCCTATAAATACCCCTTGCCTGACTTTACATGCCTTGTGTGATTTAATTGCAGCGAAGCTCTAGCAAAATCATTCTAGAGAGAGAAAGCGTTGTTCGATCAAAACCAAACTTCCAAGGTCAGCTCTTCTCCTGTTCTTGAGTTTTTAGCATACTTTGCTATCCCGGCCTTAGATTAGGCGTTAGAACTCTGTAGGAAGCTTTAGGAACCCTCTTCTACTTTAACCCTTCCGCCTCTAGTTTTCCAAAATGTCATCGCAAAGTGACTCCCAAGATATCTCAAGGGAGCCTTCGGCTGAGGCAGAAAGCATCTCCAACGTGGAGTCTTCGAGTGACGAGACCTCGGCTAACAACGATCTAGCAGCAGCTTAGGAGATACAGAATAACCTTCGGGTCGAATTGGATGCCGAAGACTTCGAGCAAGTGAATGAAGACGAGGAGCTGGTCCTCACCGTTCAAGTTGCTGAGGAGAAGGAAGAGAAAGAGAGGCAGAGAGTCACCGTGGCTATCCTTCCCCCGCGCAATGCTGGTGAAGCTAGCAGCTGCCGGCCACTCAACCCGTAACCTCTCAGGGTGGCCCCGGGGAAGAAGGCAAAGAAGAAGAAGGGGGCTCCAAAGAAGAAGAGGAGCGCTGCGGATCAAGGGAAACCCGTCGGTATTCCTGAGGGGTACTCGTTTCTGAACACCGAAGCCCTTGAGTTGAAGTCGAGGGCTGACAAAGTGATAAGCGTTTTATTAACGTATTTTATACAATAATTTATAAACGCTTTTATACTTAAAAGAATAAAACTCTCACACATATGTCTCGTTTTGCAAAAATACTATAACCGACAATTGGATCAAATACGAGGATGAAAAGACACACGAAGAATCCCGACAAGTAAAGGTCAACCAAATGCATCCCGAAGAACAAAAGAAGAAAAGGAAAATGCACCAAAGGGGTGAAAGCCGCCCGACTTTCACCAAAACCGGCCGGTTTTCACCA